AATTCAGTGTCGAGGGACAGGAAGCCAGAGTGTATTCATACACGTTAGGCTTACATCGAGGTCTCCCCTCCCCCTCCCTACCAAGGTCGAATTACTGACCACCCTATATATATATATATATATATATATATATATATATATATATATATATATATATATATATATATATATATATATATATATATATATATAATACTATGATTCTATACAACAGAAAGTTGTATTTTAAGCTATATATGTTTCTGCCATTATATGCCTCATCACTGAACTTTATGCTCTGTATTACGTGATAAAATTATATATGTATAATTAACGTACATTGATGTAAAAGTAATCAATTACTGGTACGGGTGTTATTATTGTTATTGATAAGAACAGATAGATATATTAGACGAGGAGGGAGAGTAGCCATATATGTTTGAGAAAATTTGAAACATAGTCTCAAAGAGGGAATCGAAACTGAGCCAAACAAAGAAACTATTTGGCTAGAATTAAACGAAAAGGCTTAAAATCTTATAACTGGAGTTATTTACAGGCCACCAAACTTAAGACAGATTGGAAGCAAAGCATCTATGGGATGAAAGCATCTAGAGCAATTAGGTCAGACAGTATTTATGTCATGGGTGACTTTAATTTTAGTGGAATAAACTGGCTTAACAGAACAGGGAATAATGAAGCAAAAGATTTTACAACTGTCACTACTGCTACTGTTCCCTGTTATTCACGTTATCTACAAATGCAAGTTTGGTTCGCTGGTGTAAGCCTGTACAGTCTAATCCCACTCATAAACAAAACTAACACGCCGTACATGAACAGCTGTTAGTCGAGTCTGGTTGTATAACTGTATATTCTTCCTCATATTTTATAACAAAGTTGAAAAAAAATTACACCTTTTCACGACGAGGATGGGATTCGAACCCACGCAGGGAGACCCTATTGGATTAGCAGTCCAACGCCTTAACCACTCGGCCACCTCGTCATATCGCAATATCACATAAACATTACATTTAATTTACAAATAATTCACATTTACCTCAATTTACCCGAGGGCCAACATCTATCTAGTGGCCATGATAGGAACAGGATGCCAGAAGTTTGTCCCCTCATTTTCCCCTGATATTTTTTTCCCCCAACCGGATTGCTCAGTTCTCATTAACAAAAAACGCTCATATGGTAATCTACAGTAATTTATAAACAATTACCCGTTTATATTAAGGTTTTTAGTATTAAGTATTAAGGTTAGACATATAAGGAGAGCCTACCTTTCTCTAAATATACAAATATCTTCTACATTGTTTTCCGGGAAGATTACCTAGTAGCAATTTAGGTTGGATTTAGTCAGGTTGTATTGGGTTTAGTTAGGTTATATTAAATTAGAAATATTAGGTTTGGTGAGGTATGGTTCATTGTTCCTATTGTTAGAGACAACATCTTATTAGGCTTATAGACGTCTCCTCAGCCCTGGGGAATCGAACCTGGGACCTTATGGTAGTGGCCCCTCTGCACTGACCACTGCACCGTAGGTCAATAAATACATACATGTATTTATACAACATGTATGTATTTATACAACATGTATGTATTGTTATAGTCAACATAGCTGAGTCTACAACCCCCACCCCCCGGGGGGAGGGCTTCAGCTGTTTATATCTCCCAGCGTAACTAGGCTAGTCAAGTTAGGTTAAGTTTTTAAGTTTAGTTTGGCCAGGTAATGTAGGTATAGTGGCGGGAGGTAGCTAGACGCACTCAAATACAATACGTACGGATTTTTAGATTCAGCTACGCGGAACAAAAAGTTCCAAGCAGCACGGCTATGGTGAGCTCGTAGTGGACCTAGCCGGCACAGGAGCGGGGCAAGTAGCACGGGCTATGGTGAGCCCGTAGTGGACTTACCTGACACAGGAGCGGGGCTGTAACTCCGCGTACTTTATTATTATTATTAACATCTTTATTGACAAAATTTATTACAATTTTGCCTAATCTGAGGATTTTGATAGTCTTATTAAATTGAGGTTAATGCTAGTATTCACTGTCACGCAGGACAGAGGGTCATACACAAGACAATAGGTCTAAACTGTAGGCTGAAGCACATATATATCATGGTTACAATCAATGTTTTAATGTGTGGATATGTGAAAACAACTTTCTATTGTGCACTGCCACACAAGGGCAGGGATGGGTTCATAAGTGATACAGCTTAGAATATAAATAGAAATTGTTCTTCATTCTTTAAAATGGACAAGCAAATTTTGGGTAAATTGTTAGGATGTCGTCCAGAACACCTGAGTCAATAAAATAGTTACACAGTTGGTGGTACAATAGGCCAGGAGGTCTAAAGTCCTTTACGGTTTCACATTCATCAATATAGTGTTCTAGTGAATGCATTAAAGGTTTATCACAGAGTTTACAATCTGAATATTCTGGTAGTGGCTCAGCCTCACTAACCTGCCAGATGTGTCTATAGCCAAGGCGAATTCGCGCAATTACTACATCACATTGCCTGGTCCGATTACTGTGCTGACCATACAAATACCTATTATTACAGAACTTGTCATAACTTTTAATACTGCAGCTTTCAGGTCTCTGGGCATTTCTTAGTTCTTCTAAATCTGAATTAATTTCTTTAATTTGTATGTTTCTAATAACTGCATTAGATAGTCCAAAGTCATAATCAATGTTTTCTTTCCTGCAAGCCTCATTCTCCGCGTACTTTAGTCCATATTTAATGCGTAGGAGAATAAGTATGGTTTGTACTTGGTTTGTCATAATTTAACCAATTCCTGTTGCCTGGGACAGGAAGCCTGTGAATATATATTTACGTTTGTATAACGCTCCCCCAAGGTCGAATTACTAACATTCCCCAGGATCCAACCCAACAACAAGCCCTAACTCCGCGGGTTCCTATTTACTACTCGGTGAGCAGAGGCATTAGGTGAAAGGAAACATGTCCAACTAGTTATTTCCCGACAGGGAATCGAACCCGGGAACCCTGATTATGAGGAGAGGAAGAATCCAACTGTACTAAACGTTGTTCCTATTTCTTACTACTTGCAGGGTATCCTATTTCAAACTACTTAATTTTCTAATTAAATCTTAGGCTTAAAACAGGTAGTAGTTTCTTCAAGAGTAACAGAAAAGGATTACAGATTACTATGGTCCAGCCATTCCTTGATCTGGCGGGGAATAGCGTATGAGGTTCTTGGAGTTCTTATATTTACTAAGCCCGGCCCGGGGCCAGGCTTGACTTGTGAGTGATGGGTCAAGCTCCGCAGCCCCACATATCCACTAGAGCCCGATTGGTCCGGCACAAAACACTGGAAGGAGTATATAAACATTGGGTGGAGTAATGGAACACTGGATGGAGTGTTTAATTACTCCACCACTACTCCAACACTGGGCGAAGAAAGGTAACACTGTGTGGAGTAGTGTAACACTTGGAGTGTGGAACAATATGAATGTACATATATAAATTCTGTCATTTAAACTACTCTAAGTTGTATATTGATGAAAGATATGAAAGTGAATAAAATACAAGAATTTACAGACTATCAATAATCTTCAACAAAAATCCAGGTACTGTATTTAACTCTGTATGATATATTTACCCAAAGTCTTAACCAAATTATTACAAATTTGCTTACTGTTCTGTCCTAGATGGGAAGCCAGAGACCCGGGCACCGCCGGGCACCTCTTCCAGTTTTTGTCTGTAAGTTTTGGAGTTCTCACAGACAGAAAGGTCACTTCCTTACTTCATAACTACTGTAACATTAACAGTACTGTAATTACACCCCGACTTGTAACATGATCTAAAATGTGCTTATCTAAGCTAACAGTTGTGACCCTGAGACTGTTGTGTGACTAGTCCTTCCACCGCCAAAGATACGAATGACTTATCTTAAAGAAATTTAGAGTTCAGTTTCTGAATTTTTTTTAGTTATAACTTTTCTGCACTAAAATAACTCAAAGGGGCTGCTAGCGTGACCCGGCCTGTTTTTGTTCTCCTTATCATGTGTTGCGATTGTAGTTTTCTTTTTGTTTCTGTGTTATGTATTTGTATTCCCTTTCTTGTTTTTATTATCATTCTGTATTGGTGCCTCTCCGTGTGTGTGTGTGTGGTTTGCGGGGCCAGTAGGCTTGTTTTGTATCATTCTGTTCCGGGGATTAGGTTATTGGGAGAGGGTTTTTGGGTGCACGGTTGTCATTTATGTACTATTTTCCCCTGTGTTTGTAATGATTGTGTTTGTCATTAGTGTTGTGTTTGTTTTTATTGTTGTGTTTTTGTTGTCGGCCCTTCAGGCCGGTGTTTTGTACTTAAGACCTTTTGGTATTTTGTTATTTTGCGTGTTTGTGCTTTTATAATTTTGTAATTTTGTGCTCTACTTGTTTTGTTCTAGTTTGTTTTTCTGTTTTGTTTTTATTATACTTATCCGCATGCTCGCAGTAAAAATAAAAACAAATAAAGAAGCATCAAACCGTTAATTGACTGTTGATGTTAATTAACAAACCCTGTAACCAGTTCATCATAACTGTAACTTGCATAACAAAACGTTCAGGTCTTGAGCCCATTACATATCTAACCTTTCCAACTATACTATACGTGTTCATACAATTAACGTTTTTTTTTATATTAATGCCTATATTTATTGACTAATTTATTAACGCATATAATGGGGACACTGATACAGTTATTCTCAGTATTATTAGTTAGCTGAGGAATATAATGCAGGGGGACCATTATTTCATAATCTTATCAGCGCAAGTGTGAGCTGAGGCAGCGGATGTGACACAGCTACGAGAGAAGCAGTGTCCGCTGCTGTCTCTCTCTCTCTCTCTCTCTCTGTCTCACTCACTGCCTCAGTCAGTCGGTCAGCTGGCGGTGTCGGCCCGGGAAGCACATCAGGGCCCTATTAACCAAAGTTAGTGCTACTTTAACCCTCGTTGTTACACCAAGTAACACAGAAAAGTGTGGCAGTGTTTGGTGGTAGCCTCGTGAGCCCGTTCTCCCTCGTGTTTACCAGGGTAAACTGAGTGGTATCGGGTTTGTCTCTCGGTGCATACTGCTTCCTACCTTATCCGGATTACTATCACAAGAGCATATATATATAGTGCGAAAAAGGATTAATAAGTAATTCTTAATGTTTTATCTTACATTTGGTGGTAATTAAATATGTGATATAATTCCAAGGTTTTAATGTGACGCAAGTGTGGTCACCGAGCTTCCTGTCTAAGGTTGTGTTGTGGAATGTGCTAAATGTACATAGTTACTTGCTAAGTGGACTTAATTACTCCCTAAATGTACTTAGATACTAAATCTACTTAGTTACTAAATATACTTATTCATCCTGGGTTAGTTACAACGGGGGATTGTACGGTACTTTGAGCATACCTAGAGAGGGGTTCTGGGAGTTCTACACCCCCGATTGCGTCGGCTATATCAGTGAACTTTTGATAACTAGATAAAACGTACAAATATTTTTGAATGTAATATTTTCGCAAACATTTAGTAAACAGATGAACATTCGTGAACAATAAGTGAACTATAGGGTGTACAGGTGTAGTATATATAATCAAGCGTATAATACTTGTGTCCCTTAAACTCAACAGGTGTTCAGGTGTGTTTACTAAGTGGACATGTGTGGGTGCGTCAAGATTGAGTGCAGGTGTGAACGTTATGGAGCGCACTTGTGGAATAGTGAGGACAAGTTCACAGGTGTGGGAAATAAATTAGATGTACACTTGTGGGTATAAAGTTTACATTCTATACACCTGGGCTCTAGGAGAGTCGACCCGTGTACCCCATGCGTGTGAGAGGCCGAAGCTCTACTTATACAGTTTACATATACAGTACATGTATATGTAAACTACTGTAAACTGTTTATAAATAGAGTACATGTACATGTAAAGTTTACATGTGTGAAATTTAAAAGAACAAATGTACACTTGATAGCACAAAGTGTACACATACACATTGAAGATTAAAGGGAACACATGCTCTTCTGTAGAAATTAAGTGGACGGATGCAAATTTATTACGCGTACAAATGTGCATATGAATCAACAGACGTACATTCGTGAACTTCATGGGGTACGTTTCCCGTGACCCTGATGCCTCTGTTCACCTAACGGTAGACAAGTACCCGGAAGCTAGACAACTATTGTGGGTTGCATCCTAGGGAAGGTCAGTTGTTGGCATATGGTGGACCCTCGATAACCCTAAATATAGAATTTTTATAACGATAACGGGAAACAATGAATAATAATTTAAGGTTTCTAATTCATGAACATCACACAGGATGACAAAGTTTAGAATCTAATTCTAAATTACAAGTATTCAAATAAAATTTGCACTCTCAAACGTTCCTAATCTCAGAGAAAAGCGGACGATGAAATTACAATGTGCCAGAGGCTCCTTAGTTGAAAGACAAATCTATCATATTAGAAAATATGTTAGGCATTCATAGATTTGGTAGCGAGGACGAGGCTGTGTGGCTACCTTACTATTTATTCCTGGAAAACATCCTTTACAACGTCACGACACATCCTTCTAAGATCATGTATATGACCCCGTCGATCACTAGACACTCAAGTAAAACTCTCTGAAAACTGATCGTTGGATCTTTATCAACTTCCCAGGAAAATCGAGGCCCAAACAGGTGAGCACGTGGAAAGCTCAACGGTCGGGCAGCAGCCAATCCTCCTCGGTTTTTACTGTCTCAATTTTTGACTGTTGACATCATCCTCAAACATTTGTCCGGAAGCGTCATTTACATCAATGAGCAACATTGGTGGCTATGTGACGAGTCTTGAGGAATCCCAGTTATCTCTTGGCCGACAGGAGTTCCCAGGAAGTTGCTTCCGTGCTGTCGCTTGTATGAGCTGTTGTGAAGCCTATCCTCAGTCTCCCGACTTGGCCTGCGCCAGCTCCCAGCTGGTTAGGTTAGCACTTTGCATAAAATCATCATTTAATAATAAATAAATAAATAAATAAATGTTTATTTAGGTAAGGTACATACATACAAGAGATTTTACAAAGTTTGTTGGATTAATAGATAGAGCTAGTACATACAATGCCTAAAGTCACTATTACGCAAAGCGTTTCGGGCAGCAATAAGTACAACAATCACCTACAGTGCATGTTGAGCATTTTACTCGGTCAGTCACGTTAAGCATTGATGGATCTGATTAATAATTGGATGGATAATCTCACGGGCAGCGTCCGCCCATGTCTAGCAACATCCAAAAAGAGTATATTAAGATACCAGATCATTCCTTTACTATGTATTGTTTAGCCTCTTATTCCCTTCTCATTTCTCATCGAGCGATGGTGGTATAGTGGTGAGCATAGCTGCCTTCCAAGCAGTTGACCCGGGTTCGATTCCCGGCCATCGCATGTAACATTTTGTGTAATCTAATCTCATTATTTAATTTATATATATATATTTTTTTTTTGGCCTGAACTTCAAAAGTTCGTTACTAAAGAACCTTCGTTAGCGGTAGGTGCCATTAATTGTCTTAATTTTTCCGAGAAGTCTGTATCATGCACAAAGTTAAAAATACTATTCAAGATAGAATCGCCTTTGATACATAATAGTGCTGCAAACGGTTCCAAAACGGCCCTTCACTTTGCAGCAAATGTGACGGAACTAACTGCAAATGTATAAAAAAAAATTATGCTTTTTGAACGTTTGTTCAAACGTCCATTTATGTCTGGATCCACAAGTCAGGTGTCCACAGTCCGCCGGACTGTTATCACTAATGTCACTATCCCTTTGAGATGTATTTTTGTCTTGTCTCAATAAACATACTTTGACTTGAACTTGAACTTAAAGTTGAATGTCACTATTCAGCCCGTCCTCCTGCCCACAAGATGGGTATGGGGTGCATAATAAATGAACCTCCTAAGGTTGCGTCGTTGTTTGTAAGAGGACAGACACGTTGCACATCAGTCACCGAAATAGTAGTTTTAACCCGCGAGACTGCTGTTTAGGCCACAGGTACCGTAGATTTAACAATGTGAGGTACCTAGACTTTTGCAGTTAATTACTTTATCTATTCCCGTGGTCTAGATCGAGAGGATCATCAAGGCAAATACTGGTACCTTCAACAAGCCGCCGGCTTCCTTCCACTAACACTAGTGGCCTCGTCGAGGCCACTAGTGTTAGTGACCCTCGGGTAAATCAGATATATCCTAATTATGCACACAAGGATGATCAGTGTGATTAAGAACTATCCTGCGAGATGGGGATTTTTTTACAAGCTATGTAATGTTTATATAGTCTAGGGTAGCTGAAAATATGCAGATGTTCTTGTAAACAGATAAAAAAAACTCTGATTCCAGTTAAAGGAGTTAGCAGAGGCGGCCACTGGGCCCCATTTTGGAGAGGCTGCCGAGGTGATAGGAGTCTCCGAAGGGGGTTACGCCCGTGCTGGCGTTCATATAAATTGCTGGAAAGCCCTTCTATGGTTTCCTTTTCGGCGACCCAAGTCAGAATTAGTTAAGGTAGCTTGCCTACTCTCAGCCCAGTTAGTGGACACAACAACAGCCACTGAAGTCGGGCCATGCTTGACTTCGTCGGGACTCTATGAACATATTTTGAGAGAGAGTACTCTTTCTCTGTGTACTTTGGGTAGCCATTGCTGCTTGATACATGGCCTCTTGTATCACACTTTCTAAACATTTGTATTGTCAGGCTTCCGGTTGTCTGATTTTACTATATTTAGGACTTTATTTAATACATATAATAAGCTAAATTTTAACTTGTGTAAAAATCATGATTAATTATATGTATCAACCACGTATGGCTTGATGGATCTGACCAGTAACTGGATGAGTGACTTCCATCTTGGTTAAGGAGGCTCGAAAAGATAATTCTATTTTTATCAACACTTTCTTTACCAAACAAAACTGAATATAAAATATACAAAAGGATATTAAACACTACTTGCTCACTAACGCAACATGCGATGGTGGTATAGTGGTGAGCATAGCTGCCTTCCAAGCAGTTGACCCGGGTTCGATTCCCGGCCATCGCAAAGTGTATTTTTAAGTGTAGTTTATCCTCGTTATTGTAATTAATTAACTCAAAATTTTCCACGGTTCCATTTTAGGTTATACCGAGGTCCTCCTTCCCCTCCCAAAGGCCAAACTATTGACCCCTCCCTTAGAAACCAATCTGTATACAAGGTGACTTAACTCCTGGGTAATTATTTAGTACTTACTAGGTGAACGGCAGCATTATATGATAGCATTATGTGCCCAACTATTTCTGTTCCCCCCGGGACTCGAACCTGGAGTTACAAATTGTGTTGGAAACCCGACTGTACTACCAGGAACCCTAATACATGAGGATCGAGCACCCTTCTCAGATTCATAATACTGGTATTGCTGGATACGAGTACAAAACAGGACCCTTCACTTTACAGCCAACGTCATCATAAATGACTAATCTAACTCCAGACTTCGTTAAAATTAACACCAACGAACCAACAAGTTCAAGTATGTTTATTGAGACAAGAAAAAAAATACATCTCAAAGGGATAGAGTAGCTTAGGCTATATCTAACCCAACAACTTCAACTCTCTCCTACAGCCAACTAACTCAACACGTTGGAAGCTATGTACTGAAACGACTCAGAATATATCACTGAGCCAAAAAGCAAACATTAACTAAAAAAAGTAGGAAGGAACGTTGTGATTGGGGGATGGGGGGAGAAAGGGAGATGTTCTATTTGGTTGAATATATGCAATAAAGAAAATAGGACATGAACTTCCCGCACTTCTTACTTCCAACGCTATTTGGAATACAGAACACATATTAATTATAGAGATACACCTCAGATATGACGAGAGTCGGGGTATGCTTATCTTCCATTGGAGGGAACCAATGACAAATAATTATTTTACAAACCAGTGTGGGTGAATTAGATTTATTAAAAACACAGGGAAATGGGGACTTAATACAACATGGACATTATTTATTACACACCTGATCGTCTAGTGTTCTCAAAATAAGGAAGGCAAGGTAAGCAGCCTCACGGAAGGTATGGTGAGGCTGCTCACGGGAGGTATGGGCGCCTCACAAGTACATCCTACACTCACACCCTCACTACGCTATATCCGGCTCCTCTGTGGTGGGCGAAGAGGCAGGGACGCGCCCTTCACGAAAATACACGGGCAAAACTTTACACAGTGACAAAAATTCTCTAATATTCAATTTAACATTCTTGCAAATGAATCGTAAAGATTAATTAAAGGAAAACAAACCGGTATTTTAACTGAAACATAACAAACATTTAGCTTAATAAAGATAAATGCTAGACTTTATATACCAGTTGTTACAGCGTCTACTAACTCGAATTTTCAAGATCACAAATCCTAACCGACCTGCCCTGAAGTTAAATTATAATTCATAGAGCTAGTGAATGCTTTATTGATAATAACTGAAAATTATTAGGGACGCTAGGCTTGTTGAATTTTTATATTGACCGGTAAAGGACCGAGGACGCTAGGCTGCATAAATGTCTGATTTAACATGTCATAAGGATCAGGTAGCATAGTCGGCTTCGTTCTCGACTAACAATCTGTAATTCCGGATTCGAATCCCGGGTAGGAGGGTTACCTATTATGACCTAATGCACCTGATCATTTAGCAGTAAATAGGTACTTGGGAGCTTATTATGGGATTGCCTCCTGGGGGAGGGTCAGTAATTCGGCCTTAGAGGCTACCTCCATATAATCCTAACAAGTATATACACGCTGGCTGCCTGTCCCCGACACAATAAATTATAATTATTATCCTAACTAATGCAAAGAGAACTTTGCATGGAGAATGCTGTAAGTGATATGTTATTTATGGTGTTTAACGTGCACAAAAGTTTTACTAGCTTCGTGCTCTAAGAACATGTAATGACTTGAGTGATTCCAGATTGGACGTATTATCACTGCTGCGACAATTATGGCTTGCGCATTGTACCTTGCTAATTATCAACACGTCAATACATAATTACTCAGGAAATCATTTCTTTCAGACTCGCCTGATGTCGGTTGATATTAGACAACTGAGAATTGTTGTGGTTGGTGACGGAGCCGTGGGTAAGACCAGCTTCCTCAAGGCTTACACTGAGGTGAGACTGTGATGTTATTTACAACCACCCGTAACACCTCTCTCTCTCTCTCTCTCTCTCTCTCTCTCTCTCTCTCTCTCTCTCTCTCTCTCTCTCTCTCTCTCTCTCTCTCTCTCTCTCTCTCTCTCTCTCTCTCTCTCACACACACACACACACAGCACCTGTGTATGTGTGTGTGTGCGAGAGAGAGAGAGACGGCTGAGTGGACAGCGCTCGGGATTAGTAGTCCTAAGGTCCGGGGGATCGATCCCCGGCGGAGGCTGAAATAAATGGGCAGAGTTTCTTTCACCCTGATGCATCTGTTCACGTAGCTGTAAATAAGTACCTGGGAGTTAGAGAGCTGCTACGGGATGCTTCCTGGGGGCGGGTGTATGTGTGTGTGTGTGTGCGTGGGAAAAAAATCAGGTGCTTGATTGATGGTTGAGAGGCGGGCCCAAAGAACCAGAGTTCAACCCCCGCAATTACAACTAGGTAAGTACAACTAGATGAGTACAACTAAATGAGTACACAGGTAGATATGATAGAGCCCAGTAGGCTCAGGAACCTGTACACCAGTTGATTGACAGTTGAGAGGTGGGACCAAAGAGCCAAAGCTCAACCCCCGCAAGCACAATTAGGTGAGTACAGGGCCTGGCAGCGGAGTGGACAGCGCTCGGGGCAGCGAGGCAGAAACAAATGGAAAGAGTTTCTTTCACCTGAGGCGCTTATTCACCTAGTAGTACATATGTGTGGCCACGTCTGTTGTAGGAAAAAAAAAAGTACATATGTACCTGGGAGTCAGACAGATGCTACGGGCTGCATCCTGGGGATGTGTGTGTGTGAGAGAGTAGTAGATATGAGAGAAAATTAGATCAGGAGTCAGTATATTATACAGCCGACGGTTAGGTAGGAGTCTACGAGCTAACAGCTCGATCCTGCAGGCACACACATGAACACATTAAACACAAATAGTAAATACACACTCACACACACACACGCATACAAATACAAGATCACTTAAAACAATTTTTTTTAAGAAAACATCATAAAATACCGTACATAGGATGTTAACAAATGTTCTTCAACTTGTGACTAAATTATTAATGCTACAAACTTATAAACAATTAACTGTGCCTTTCTAAATACATGAGAAAACTGTTCTTCCACCAGGGCTCCTTCCCAATGGAGTACATACCCACCATCTTCGATAACTACATAGAATGCTTCCAGAGAAACGAAGAGAATTTTATCATCAATTTCGTAGACACGGCTGGCCAAAGTGACTATGATCAACTACGTCCACTCTCCTACAAGGAAGTAAGTGGCTCACTCCGCCTTGGTTTTATTGATTTATTTATTTATATACAAGAAGGTACATTGGGGGTTAACAGAGAACATAGAAATTATGTTGATTTTACATTCATGTAAAGCCACTAGGATGTATAGCGTTTCGGACAAAAATAAAAAACTATTTATATAAAAATTTCATTGGCATTTTTAAGTCTTTAAATGACAGATTAAGTGTGTAAATCACGAATATTTACATGTGATGATAAATGTGACAATGTCAGACCACAGAAGAAGAATTGAAAGGCATTCATTCCTTCTGAAGATGTATTAATATACGAAAGTATTTAAAAGGAAATTCCTGTTTCAATTCTTCCTCCCTGGTCTGACATTGTGACAGATTAATTGTTGGGATTCTGTTTTCAGCTTACTTTGTGGACTTTGGTAGCTTTCTAATACTTATAAACCAGTTTGATTTAGTCTGTCTAGTTAGTGACGAGAGAAAGAAAACTTATTGCTAGCAAATTAGTTCATATACCAGAAACGCTAAAAAGTTTATAATTAAATTTTTGTTCTGCAAATCACTTATATAGCACAACCGGATCCTTAACTTTTAAAAGGACTTATTATTCTCATATTTACTTATAATTTATATTTATTACTAAATATCACTATCACTAATACTAAATAATAAAAATGTTCATATAATTGTTCATATAAAACTCATTATAATTATCATTATTATTTATATATCTTATCATTTACACTGTACGTAGTTAACAATATAATCTGATTCCACCACAAGGTTAAATTATACTTGCTAATTGGTCAGTAACCTCTTACCTTGTAATGATTTCGGGGCTCAACGTCCCCGCGGCTCGGTCCTTGACCAGGCCTCCTAATTATTTTTTTTAAATCTTGTGTTGGTCTTGAACCCCCCCCCCCTCAGATGCTGGGGGGTCTTAAATCCAACACCAAATTTGTCCCCCCCCCCCAATATGTCACAGTGACCAAGTCTTCCCTCCGCTCACAGATCAGTGTGTGTCTTGTCTGCTTCAACGTAAATAGCATTTCAACGTACGAAAACGTCAAAAACAAATGGTTACCTGAGGTACGAAAGCATTGTGGGGACGACTTGCCCATTCTTCTTGTTGGTACGTCACTTCATCTTGTTGAGAGCTTGGAACACTGTGAGAGGTGAGGGAACACTGTGAGAGGTGAGGGAACACTGAGAGGTGAGGAAACACTGTGGGAGGTGAGGGAACACTGTGGGAGGTGAGGGAACACTGTGGGAAGTGAGGGAACACTGTGGGAAGTGAGGGAACACTGTGGGAAGTGAGGGAACACTGTGGGAGGTGAGGGAACACTGTGGGATGTGAGGGAACACTGTAGGAGGTGAGGGAACACTGTGGGAGGTGAGGGAACACTGTGGGAGGTGAGGGAACACTGTGGGAAGTGAGGAAACACTGTGGGAAGTGAGGAAACACTGTGGGAGGTGAGGGAACACTGTGGGAGGTGAGGGAACACTGTAGGAGGTGAGGGAACACTGTGGGAGGTGAGGGAACACTGTGGGAAGTGAGGAAACACTGTGGGAGGTGAGGGAACACTGTGGGAGGTGAGGGAACACTGTAGGAGGTGAGGGAACACTGTGGGAGGTGAGGGAACACTGTGGGAAGTGAGGGAACACTGTGGGAAGTGAGGAAACACTGTGGGAGGTGAGGGAACACTGTGGGAGGTGAGGGAACACTGTGGGAAGTGAGGGAACACTGTGGGAAGTGAGGAAACACTGTGGGAGGTGAGGGAACACTGTGAGAAGTGAGGAAACACTGTGGGAGGTGAGGAAACACTGTGGGAAGTGAGGGAACACTGTGAGAAGTGAGGAAACACTGTGGGAGGTGAGGAAACACTGTGGGAAGTGAGGGAACACTGTGGATAGTGAGGAAACACTGTGAGAGGTGAGGAAACACTGTGGGAAGTGAGGGAACACTGTGGGAGGTGAGGGAACACTGTGGGAGGTGAGGGAACACTGTAGGAGGTGAGGGAACACTGTGGGAGGTGAGGGAACACTGTAGGAGGTGAGGGAACACTGTTGAGAGACAAACTTGTTAGTATGTTTCTTCATGATATTGGTACAGTGTTGTGTGCTTGAAGTATTGAGAGGGGGGGACTTCCCTATTTTTCTACACTGATGGTTCGTTACTTCATGAAACTGACTTTTATTTCAACTAACATTCCTAAATACATCTACATTTATGTTCTGGACTAAAGTACATTTGCTGGCTGGTCAGTATTCAACTTGTACAAATATCTGGTTCGCCCCATTTGAAGTATAGAGTCCAAGCAAGGAGACATCACCTTCAAAAGAACATGTCTGCCTTGGAGAAAGTTCAACACAGCGACAAAAATCATCTCAAAATTAAGTCGACTCTCTTACCATGAACTGCTGGTGGCTGCAGTACCAACAACCACACGTGACACGACTGATCTCATCTAATCTCTTTAAATACTCAACAAATTAGAGGATATTGATACAGACAACTTCTTTAAAAAAAGTCAAATGTAACATATACAAAGGAGAACAAATTCAAGTTCAATACGGCACGATGTAAGACAGAAAACTGGTGAATTTTTTTCACTCACAGGGTTATAAACCCATGAAACCGCTTAACTGCCAAAGGAGGTAAATGCAGAGACATTACCTCAATTCAAGATCCAGTTGGAAAAAAATCATCAGAAACAATGGGACGACATTTGACAAACCGCTGGCTTTCTGGCCCCGTCGAGACCATTAGAGAGATGATGGCCTTCGGATAACGACCTGAATAACCCTCCAGGTGTTAAGAAAATTAGTTTTGTCGGAGACAGGTAAAACCAATTTATATACAGGTTAGACTTATATCAAGGTTCCCCCAAGGTCGAACTACTCCCCTCCCTAGGATGCTGTTAGATGAACAGATTCATTAGGTGAAAGGAAACGTGTCAAACCATATCTGTCTCACCTGAGATAAGAGTCTGGGAATTCCCGATTGTGAGTCAAGACCGAGCCCCAACTGCACTATCGAGAACCGCCTTTGTAGTTTACTATATGTCAAAATGATGTTATACACACACAGTTAAAGTTAAATTAATAAAGATTGATGAGGAAAAGGACTTTGGAGTCAGAAGCTACAAATTACTGAAAATTGCACAAGAAATAGGAGCTGTAGTGAAAAAAGCCCACCAGATCCTAGGAACAGTCAGAAGTAACATTGATTTCAGGAAAAATAAGGTAGTTATCCAAGTGTATAAATTTCTGATGCGCAAATGTGGATTATTGTATTCAAGCAAGGAGACCACATCTCCAGAAAGACAGATCTGCATTGGAGAAAGTTAAATATTGAGCAGTTTGGAGGATGTAGATCCAGACAGCTTTTTCAAAAGGTCAGATGTAATATAAACAAGGATCAACGATTTCAAGTTCAATAATCCATAATGTTATGCAGGAATCAGACGAAGCTTTTTCACTCGTAGGGTTATAAACCCATGGAATTGCCTACCCGCCAAATCCGTAAATGCCACAGCATTGCTGCAATTTAAGATCCATATAGATTAAATCATCAGGACAAGTAGAGGAGACTTTTGGCAAGCCGCCGGGTTCTTGTCCTCGTCGAGGCAACTAGAGTGCTCGACGAGGTCCACAAACTTAAGACAGAACAGGTCTTACGACTTACATTTTGCTTCAGTTAGCCCTAGCTATTAAGACGAAAGTTTTCACTTCTCATAGTCACACAGAAACTATAGAAAACGAATAAATCGAAAAGGATACTAAACTAAAGCTTATCAATCAAAGCCGCTCGAGGAAGATGATTTCCCTTTTCACTACAAAATATTTCATTTAAAATTATCTAATACCAAAAATTTTACCCAAATAAGGTTTATTATTGGTAGTACAAATAGGTGACTGTAACCTATCCACTAGATGGGTGGAGACTGCAAGATAGGCAAATTAATATTATATATGATCCTCTCTTTATGTTTAGGTCTCTTGAGGTCAGTGCTGCTAGTTTAACAAACTGTGAAAATACTGTTGAATTATTCATGTTAACAAAATATATAATTAGCTAATTAGTACTATGTCTTGCTTAGCTCAGGTAATTGGGGGGGGGGGGGGGGGGGGGTTCAGTTCCTATGCTCATTATGTTCCTATATAACCTTTTCCACTACCACCCACAGTATGGATATGGGATGCACAATAAATTGAATATTATATATATATATATATATATATATATATATATATATATATATATATATATATATATATATATATATATATATATATATATATTCCTACCTTCTTAGAAATACATAATTAAACACATTTATTGCAGGTCTGCAGACAGATTTGCGTGCGGCTTCCGCTAAGGACACTACAGTAAGCAGAGAAGCGGCCCAGAAACTGGCGCACTCACTGGGACTGGTCAGCTACGTGGAGTGCTCGGCCAAGACCTGCGCAGGCTGTGACCACGTCATAGAGATGGCTATTCAAGCAGCTATATCTCCACAGGCAACATATAAAGGCTGTTGCAGTATTCTCTGAGACTATGCTGACTTTTCACGACGCTGTATAGTGGAAGTGGAGACTTGTGGTGTCTATACGTTTTCTATCTTAGAGGATTGCCTTTTGCAAGGGATACTTTCTTACTTGCATGTTCTCAGGTTTTTTTTTTTAATTATGTATTTTCCTGGAGAATTGTGATTGGTGGCTTCCTTTCTTGTTAATACTCCCGAAGACGCTCACTGTAAATAATGACTTGTGACAAGTTTGCCGATAAAAGTACCTGTACTTAAGTTATAAACTTTTAATTTAAGTGATTGTACTCTTTTTGTCTTTGTTTCGTGTCTGAGTAATATATTTTTGTAAGCTCTGTTATGCTTACAATAAATATAAGTCACACACACACAAATAGTGTATGTATGTAGATTAAATTAGCACTTTAAAAGCACTACAATCACCTTCTGTGATTGATTGTTCAATTAATCACTGAACTATATGTTTGACAGATCTCTCACCCTGTCCATGGAGGACAGAAGAAATGTATATATGATGGTTAGCATTGTAAGTGTATATGCCACGTCTGTGGTAGAAAATAGTAATAAAAATTGGATTTACTAGTCTTAAATTTGTTTATCACTTAGGTTAATATGCATAATAATTTTGCTATGTGTATTATTGTTTTAGTAAATGCATTAGCAATAGAACGTGGAAAATTTAGGATATTATTACATTTACTTTGAATTCTTATGTGTCATGTTTAATTATAAAAATGGTGTAGATTTTAGCTGTATTATGTAGCAATGACAGTGTATATTTCAAGACTTTTTAGTTAAATAATTTCTTCGTTCGTTAAAGTCGATCGTGCAATTCTCAACTGTGCCATTGACATGACCACTTTAAAGTGGTTTAGTATATACTCTATTGTAAATGGTTTAATGTATGTTCTTCTGCAAGTGGTTCAATATATATAGGGTGGCCCAAAAGTACTGTGATGAGGTGTACTGTGATCAGATGTTCTCCGACGAGTTATACAGTGACCAGGTGTACTATAACTGTAACCAAATGTTCTGTCAATAGTTGTACTGTGACTAGGTGTACTGGTACAGGTGTGCTGTGACCAGGTGTGCTATGACCAGGTGTATAAATTTTGATGCTATGGTCCACTACCTCAAACTGGCGATGCACAGAGTGTGAGGACAGTTAATTAAAGCATCTGATGGTATACACAGAATAATTTGCATAATACGAGGAATTGCTTTGAAGGATGTATATAGAATATCACTAAATTAATATTCTGCCTCATTAGAAGAGTGAAGAATATGTTGCTTCGTTAAAATAAGTCTTCAAAATATTTCCTTCACACTCGATATACACACTAATGGAGGGCAACAGACTAAAGAGAATTCTAAAGTGGTGGTGAGAAGTCCACAACACCCTAAGTCCCTCTCTGTGGAGCCAAGTACGTATTTTCAAAACTAGATTCATTTAAATCTTGAAGCAGCTAGAGATACATTTAATGATCCATTTTACAGTTTCAATTCAAAATAGCCGCCTTAATGGCCGCCATCTTTAGTTCCAGGGACACAGTGAAGATGTTTAGACTTTATCATACAATATAACACCATACCTTGAGTGCCTGGAACTCGGAGCACAGTTGTCATGTAGGAATGAAACAGAGAGACAACCTTCGTCCTTGCCACAGCATAATTTGCTCTAGAAATGTTGGAATTTTGGGCGTTGGCGCAAATGAGGTTGATCACTTTCTGTGTGTATATATATGGTACCCAGTTGCCGGATATTTTCTCTCGGCTTACTTCACCGATAGAAAATACTGATTTGTTTATGGTAATTATCAGGAGAAAGCACTTAGGAGGTACACGAGGACCTGGGATACGAGGTCAGAGCGAACTACTGTATCTGTACCCAATCACTTGGATCATCGGAGATCGACCAATTGAACTTACAGGATACGAGGCCGTCGCTATACTGACCAGTCCAAGTGGATGGACTAACGATGTTGAGAGATGAAAACAAACCCGTGATTTTGGGAGGTATTGCTGACAGCCATTTGAGCAGGAAACTACTCTTGAGCACATTGTTAACCATTCCGATTTGTTTATGATTGTACCTGCTGTGGGTGTGGCTGGCAACGAAGCCTAACGTTAGTCTACACGTATTCAGAATCACAAACTTTATTGGGAACAACTTATACAAATTATTATAATTCTGGCTGGACTGAACACGTGCACAGTGGTGTAAACTAAACTTACATTTTTATACATAAATTGAATAACATAACTGCTTAAAATTTGAGTGGTGATATATATTAATAAAACATTGTGTAGGAGTAACGACAACTGCAATAGCATTAATAATGGTAGTAATAATAACAGCAGTAGTCTAGACGTACATTAATGACCGCTGTTGTTACATCCTTCATGTAATCACCTTGTTGCTTGCTCCTTCACGCGGGGCTCTTTCGTCGCCTGCTTCTTTCTTCTTGTTCGGTAATAATCTTCATCACACATTCAATGTTATCGATTCTTTTGCAGACGTCTCCATGTTTCACTAACCTCAATTCTAGTCCCCTGTGCACTCGTCCCTCAAGTTCAAGTATGTTTATTGAGACAAGAAAAAAATACATCTCAGTAGAGTATAAGTTAGGCTACTTAGGCTAATCTAGGCTTAGAGTAGCCTAAGCTACTCAGATAGAGTAGCTTAGGCTATTTTTTACCCCCTACCATCCCTCGAGCTCATCTACTCAAACCCTGTTCCACTCTCTGGTTTTCAGTCATAGCTTATCCAGCATTATGGTCTTATATTATAGTACACGGGGTCCTGTAGCACAGTGGTATGTGTCCTTAGCTTACACTAAATGGGACCCGCGTTCATTCCCCGGACACGACAGAAACGGTTGGGCACCCAGTAAAATAGGTACCCGGGTTTGATGTCACTTTTGTGGGTTGCGTTCTGGAGAAGGTCCAGTACAGGCTTCTATCCCCGACACCGGGGATTATATAAACAACAACCATTAGTGCTTGAAAACATAAGTTCGAGCATTCTCCTCAGGTTTACAATGCATTTAACTTCTTGCCAATTATTTCAGCTCTACAAGATTCATTCCAACTTGTCTAGGATTCAGCTCTACTCCTCCGGGATAGCTCACACTCTATACAAAATGTCATGTTCTCTTAAAGACAGTTAATATATTGACCAGACCACACACTAGAAGGTGAAGGGACGACGACGTTTCGGTCCGTCCTGGACCATTCTCACAATCGACTTGAGAATGGTCCAGGACGGACCGAAACGTCGTCGTCCCTTCACCTTCTGGTGTGTGGTCTGGTCAACATACATTAGCCACGTTATTGTGACTCATCGCCTGCACAGTTAATATAAACGAAGGAGTGACGCTAGAGTCACCGGCCCTACGTCACAGAGTTCGTTCCCGCGCTCTCATCAGTCCACGCCGCCTGCTCTCTCTCTAACTCGTTAAGCCTTAACCAAGAGTTCAACTTTACACGTTATTTTTGTATTCCTTTCCGTAGCCCTCTTGCGTAATAGACTACCACCGTTGGTTTATCATAACACCTTTCATCACCGGTCTTTCTAAAACTACCATTTGAGTTTTACATTAAGTTCACAGATATTTTTCCTTTCGCTAGGTTGCTGACTGTTGAGTGGGTAACTTCGTGTTTTTCAATTACCTATTATCAAATTGTATATAAAACTACTGTGATCGCTGAGCTGCCTTCGATTTCTAGTACGCAGTTACTAGCCTACACATATGATTGCTACTAATGTAGCCGCTGAGTTGCATGCAATTGTTAATACGCAGTTTGTGGTGGACTACATATAGTCTGTGGTAACAAACTCGCAGTCGTAGCCTGTGGAGGGAGGGACGGGGCCCATGTAGGCGGCATCAGGGAGGTAGGAGGTCATGTTAGCCAGGCCGTGTCCAATATAATGACAACCGCGACTCAGAGACCTCCTAACTTGACGACCAGCTCGGCAAACATTCTGCAAAGTAAGATTAGATTGTTTTTTATGCAAAACAAATGATAATAAAAAACTAATAAATATATATATAAACAATTTGTTATTTTTTCGTTCCCTGGTAAATATTTCATAATACACAATGTTCAAGAAAATTACTTTCAATGTCTAAGATTGTAAATTTTATTATGGTTTTTATTTGCTACTAGTTGAACCCGGCCACGCGTTGCTGAGCTGCAACAACTCTCCCTTGTTCCCCTATCCTCCACACCAGTCCCACCCTCTCCAGTACCCTTGTCCTGCCAACCATTCCCTATTTCCCCATCCCCACGTCTTCCCCTCCATCATTCCCCACTCCTCCTTCCCCTCCCCACCATCTCCCATTCCCCCATCCCCTCAACCTCCCTACCATTCGTTTCTTGAGAATGATCCAGGACGGACCGAAACGTCGTCGTCCCTTCACCTTCTAGTGTGTGGTCTGGTCAACACCACTCCCCTGTCATCTCGTCCTCCCCACTATTACCCCCTCCCCCATCCTCTTATTTTCCCCACCATCCACCATTCCCCACCCCACCGTCTGATGCGTTCCCAAATGATCTGATGTTCCCATCACTGAAAAATAAGAACAGTTAAAAAAGAAATGAAAAAATAAAAAAAATAAACTATACTCAGGAATGAGCGATATGCTAAAAACACAGCTCAATTCCAATGCAGTGTCACACAAACTAATTAAATCAAAATGAAAATAAGTAAAAAACTATGAAAATTCAATTTATCAATGCAATCGGAAACATTGAAATGGAATCGTGACATATTTTGTATAGCGTGTGTGGCTTTTATGTGCAACAGATGGCGCTGTTTAAAAAAAAAACATGTTTTTCCCTGTCACAGGTGTGGCATATATATATTAGGTATATAAAAACACGCCCGTATTTGAATGGAACGTTGTGTCAACATTTCAAAGCAATTGGTGAAGAACTTTCGGAGATTACGGCATGTGTTGCTCTTACGTCCAACAGATGGCATTGTTTTAAAAAAAAAATGTTTTTACCTTTCACAGGTTTGGCATGAATATAGTAGGTATATAAAAAACGCGCGTATTGGAATGCAACGTTGTGTCAACATTTCAAAGCAATCGGTAAAGAGGTTTTGGAGATTTCCCTCACATGAATAAATTTATTATAGATAAATAATTTTTCTTATAAAATTTCGTGTCTTTCTTTTGTCTATTTATATCTTGCTTGTTTTGTATATTAGTTTGAATGATACTTCGGTTGGTGTTGGGTTTCTGTCCTATCGACCACGAGAGGATTTACTAAGGCCTGCACACCTGTGTATCGACACACCAGCAAGTATGCTAGCCTCCTGAATATAGTTCAGGTGTAAAGTAAACTCTCACGGTTTCATCCCCGCTACTGTGCCAGGTAGGGTCCATGATGGGCTCACCATAGCTTAGGAACTTGGAACTTTTTGTTCAGAGAACTTTTTGTTCAGAGAACTTTTTTGTTCAGAGTAGCTAAATCTAAAACAACAACAACAATGTAAACTCTCAGTGTGCATACACTGAGAGGTGGGGATACAACCTCTCAGTATATAAATGTTCAAATAATACCTTTTGGTGCTGGGTTTAATGCCTATTGACCTCAGGAGGAGATATTAGTGGTCCAATGGTTTAAACAGCAATCGAAACACATCAATATGCCAAAGGCAAGGGGGCATACGCGAGAAGGCAATGCCTATACATATTTATGCGGATAATCCTTTTATGGAAACCTCAAGCAGTATGCCTCCCACACGATCCGCTCATCTTCCTGAAGACGAGACGAGACGAAGTGCACCAGACCTCTCCCGAGGGCGTGACATAACATCAGAAACACGAGAGATGAAAGCCTGCACACTGGGCACCCACACGGTGGACGAGCACCAGGGAACCGGCAGTGCCCGGACTCCCAGACTGGGTAGAGACTTCTCATCGACGGCAACACAGAGCCCATACTCGCAATAGGCCGCTGGGCACTGGGCACGGGCACAGAGCCTCTCCCACTTCGGGGGCCATAGCCCACATCAGGAGGCGCAGGGAGGGGACACAGAAACCAACACAGCGCTCCCTACACCAGCATCCGATGCGTGGACATCCGCCACCACCACCTCCGAGACCACCGGAACATCACCAGTCACAGACCCCCCCCCCTCGCCGTCAGAAGACACACAGCTTACAAAATCCCCCATGTCCATCCAGGCGGGACCATCCGAGGTCAAAACTGACGAAAAGCGCTGCGAGCGTTTAGGGTCAGGGCGCAGGTCGTCTGAGCTCTCCATCGTCGCAGAAACCGACTCCAGAGTGACGCAGGGAGTCCGCAACCTATCAGTCACACGAACAATTCTGAACGCTGTGAAAGAGCTTATTCCCTCCTCCTCTCCGCATGAAGCGACTAGACACTGCAGTTCAACACGAGCAAACGTAAAGTGATGGAGATGGGACTAGGTGACATGATACCAAAGGGACAGTACACAATGAAGAGAAACTACCTTCCTGTGACGACTCGAGAAAGAGACCTGAGAGTTCACATAACACAAAATCTAACTCCTGAGACACACATAAATAGAATAACGATAGCAGCGTTATCAAAAGCTAGCAAAAGTTAGAACATTAGTCAGAAACCTAAGTAAGGAGGGATTTAGGACGCTTTACACTGCCTACTTAAGACAAGTCTTAGAGTATGCCGCCCCATCATGGAACCGCACTTGAAGAAATCCATAAGGAAACCGGAAAAGATTCAGAAATTTGCGACGGGGAGAGTCCCAGAGTTGCAAGAGATGGCATAGGAAGAGGAACTGAAAGAACTGACTTACACACAGAAATCACAATAGCGTGATGGGTCAAATGAACAAATGTCGTAGCTCAGTCGATTAAGGCAGCGTCTGGGACCCTCTGGGACGAAGGTTCGAACCCTCGTCACGACCCTTGTGGATTTGTTCAACTGAAAAAACTGAACTTGACGACACTAGAAAAAAAGGAGAGCGGGGAGACATGATAGAGACATACAAAATACTTATGGGGATAGACAGTGTGGAAATATACGAAATGTTCACACTGAATACCAACAGAACAAGGAGACACGGGTGTAACCTTGAAACTCAGATAAGTCATAGAGATGTTAGAACATTTTCACTTAGCATACGAGTAGTGGGAAAAGGGAACGTGACTAAAGGAATCAAGTTGTGGAAGCAAACTCTATTCAGAATGTTAAAAAGTAAATATGATGGGGAAATAGGACAGGAGTCATTGCCTTAAACAACAGGCGGCTAGAAAGGCGGGATCCAAGAGTCAATGCTAAATCCCGCAGACACAAATAGTTGAATACAGTCATCAATTGGAGAAGGTTCGAAAGCCTGGCACTGTTACTACACGACCTGGCACTGTAATTATACGGCCTGGCACTGTAACTACACGGGCCTGGCACTGTAACTACACGGCCTGGCACTGTAACTACACGGCCTGGCACTGTCCCACCCGCTCATCATTATCGCATCCGCTCCCAATTCAAGGTCACTGCTGACAGGGAGATGGAAACAGGTGGCACCCGCACAGAGAGAGAGAGAGAGAGAGAGAGAGAGAGAGAGAGAGAGAGAGAGAGAGAGAGAGAGAGAGAGAGAGAGAGAGAGAGAGAGAGAGAGAGAGAGAGAGAGAGAGAGAGAGAGAGAGAGAGAGAGAGAGAGAGAGAGAGAGAGAGAGAGAGAGAGAGAGAGAGAGAGAGAGAGAGAGAGAGAGAGAGAGAGAGAGAGAGAGAGAGAGAGAGAGAGAGAGAGAGAGAGAGAGAGAGAGAGAGAGAGAGAGAGAGAGAGAGAGAGAGATGTAGGGGAGAGAGAGAGAGAGAGAGAGAGAGAGAGAGAGAGAGAGAGAGAGAGAGAGAGAGAGAGAGAGAGAGAGAGAGAGAGAGAGAGAGAGAGAGAGAGAGAGAAAAAGAGAGAGACAGACAGACAGACAGAGAGGGAGAAATTTACCTAAGTAGCAATTTTATGAAGCTAGTTAGAACTGTGTTTGTATTATTCATACATACATATATACATACACATATGCACACTCACAATGAAGTACTCACACATTTAACTCAATCGATAAGAGTTATCTCTGAAATCCACTATTTTTTTGTCTTCAATTACATAATGACGCAAAGTATGTGAATAGTCGTGCCGACAGCGTTTACACTTAAGACAAGTCTACATCAGCAGGTGGCGCAGACTCCCGGAGGTACTAGTAACAGAGCCTAAGTCTAGCAGTTGCAGCATCTTTCTAGAAAAATGTAAACTGGCTTATTCACATCTTCTTTCATTATCTTCTGGATAAGGAAAGCGGTGAAGGAGGTTTTGTCTTGGGTATTAGGGAGGGAGCAGTGGTGAGCGCTGAGAGCCGGTTGGTAGCCGGTGGGAGCCGGTTGGAGCCGGTGGGAACCGGTTGGAGCCGGTTGGAGCCGGTGGGAGCAGGTTGAAACCGGTTGGAGCCGGTGGGAGCCGGTTGGAGCCAGAGGAAGCTATTAGTAACCAGAGGAAACAAGTAACGCGTCAGAGCAGCCAAGAACGGAAGCCCGACCTTCAAACAGTAATTATATTTATGCACGTGATCATAAATACAACATTACTTGGTGATTACTTCTAGCTTACCTGTAACTGGTTTCGAGCGTTCTTCTACTCTCCAAGTCCGGCCTGAGGCAAGGCTTGTCTGTCGATAACTTCACTGGTGAGGTTGTTGCCGGCAGAGGGCCGCCGGCCCGCATGCTTCCTACAACCCGACTGATCCGGAACTTCCTGCAAGAATTTCTCCAATTGCCTCTTGCAAAATACACCTTTTGGTCCGGCTATTTTTTGTTTTAGACCAGTGAATAGTGTGTATAAGGGGGGGGGGCTGTGTGAGCAGTAGGACTGAGGGAGGAGGGCAGGGTGGGTAGTAGGTATGAGGAGGGGGGGAAGGGTGGGTATGAGGGAGGAGGGACGGTTGGGCAGTGGGTATGAGATAGGGGGGAGGT